CTTTAACAACTCAAGTTCTAAAGGCCTGGTCCAATGCCCATTAAAGTCAATGGAAGTCTAATAATTTTGAATCAGGTCCCACATGCAGAAAAATGAAAGAGAGATACAGAAACATTTTTTAAAAACCCAAGAACATATTATTTTAAATCATCTATTGAAAACCATGATACCTTGCATGAGGACTCTAGCTTACTGAGTAGTTAATGCAATATGAAGTGTTGTTGCTATGGTGGTCCCAGGATATTAAAGAGACAAGGTGGGTGAGGTAATTCCTTTTATTGGACCAACTTCTGGTGGTGAGAGAAACAACAGAAGTTGGTCCAATAAAAGATATTATATTACTCACTTTGTCTCTCTAGTTAATGTTATGTCTTACTCAGACCTCAAGGCGGTGCTCTGACACTTTCTGCACACCATACTCTGTGTTCTGTCCTGTGAATACAAGTTAGAATATCTATATATGCTCTGTTTAAAATGAAAGGCATTTGCAAACATGAAAGATCCTCGCATTCTTTGAAATCCTGGTAAAATGAAACAATGATACAGGACTCACACAGCAGAGTAAGGCCTTGTGGCATACACAAATGATTGGATGCATCCATCTTCTGGAAGGGAGTTAACCATCATAAGTGTATACGAAACTCATCTGTTGATTTTACCTGATCACAGAGTATCATCTTAAAGATCCATTTGTTAGTTCACACACTTAGGAAACAGCTCCTCCCCCCTCTCTTCTTCATTTCCTGTCTCTCTATCTGTGATTTCCACTCTGTCTTTCTCTGCTACTTATTCTTTTTCTACCTGTCTCTCTGCCTCCATCCCTCTCTCCCCACTTCCATCCATCTGTCCATCTGTTTCTGCCCGATACACTGATCTTTTCTCAGGTCCTCCATTTAGAGTTTTAATATAGCCATTTCTGCAAAGCTATTTTCCCCAAATTTCCATCTGTTGACAGGTTTTACAGAAAAAGATGTTCTGAAAGCAGATGGATATTAGCTCACAACAGCTGGGCCAGGAATGATGTTCCCTTCCATTTTAGGTAAATTCCTTTCCTTATCTACCTTGAGTGAATTTAGTTCTGGCACTGAACTGGCACCCTTGAAAACTTCAGCTCTGGTACATTGTGGGCAGCAGCAGTGCATGCTTCCTTCACATTGCCTTGTTAATATGCATCCAAACTGATCTCTGTTGGCAGAGGCCAGTGACTGAATGGGCCCATGGAGACTGAATTACCATCTCACCCCTAGAAGTTGAGACACATTGATATAGCCACATGGGAAGCTTGCCTTGATGCTGCTAGTGCTGCACAGAGCTTGTCCTGGGGTTTCAATCCAGCACTTCACAGCAGCGTGCAATTAAAAATCATCTCTATGTTGATGACTTGAAAATCTTGCATTCCGCCACTAACCGGTCTCCTTCCATCCATTCCTATGTGCCTCTTGGATGCTTTGTCATCGTCTTAAATTGAACATGGCTAAAATGGAACTCTTTTTCTTCTCTTCCAAACCTTCTCCTTTTTTCCCCTTCTCTTCCTCTGTTGACACCATCATTCACTCCATCATTCAAACCCTCATCTTGGAGTTGTTTTTGACTCCTCCCTTTTATTTTGCCCCACACAGCCAGATCATATCCCAGTCCTGCCACTTCTTCCTTTCTCAGCATCATCAAGATCCATCCTTTCCTTTTCCTGCCATCACTATTGCCAAATCTCTAAGGCCATGTCTACACTACCACTTTTGTCGGCATAACTTATGTTGCTCAGGGATGTGAAAAATCATAAGTTACACCAACATAAGTTACACCGACAGAAGAGCCGATGAGCTTCTCCTGCAGACAGAGCCTCCACTGCTTGCGGAGCTGGTTTTATTATGCCAACAGGAGAGTTCTCTCCTATCAACATAGACCAGCTACACAAGCGATCTTACAGCGGAGCAGCTGCATCGGTACAGTCGTGCTGCTATAAGTTCTCTAGTGTAGACATGGCCTAAGGGCTTGTCTACACATACAGCACTGCAGCTGCACCACTGTAGCACTTTAGTGAAGACACTACTATGCCGACAGGAGAGCTTCTCCCATCGGCGTAGTTAATCCACCTCCCTGAGAGGCGGTAGCTATGTCAGTGGGAGAAGCTCTCCCATTGACATTGCACTGTCTTCAATATTAAGGCAGTATAACTATGTCGCTCAGGGGTGTGGACTATTCACACCCCTGGGCAACGTAGTTATACCGATAAAGGTCTGTAGTGTAGACCTGGCCTTAGAGTTGGCCCTCACCACTTCTGCTGTGCCAATGCCTCAACCTTGCCTGCCTATTTATCAGCTTCTCATACAGTTACCTCTGCATCTTCTTCCATATGTCCCCCGAGCACGGTTCAACTTCCACAAGTTCACCCTCAAGGCAGTACTCTGTTCGCACGTAATCACCTTGTAAAGACTCACTTCTGCTATGCTACCTATAGTGAATCAAGTTGACATATATATAAATTGTATATAATTTGCCTTTTGTTCCCGTTCCCTTCCCCCTAATTTCTGTCTGTTTGTCCTTAAATTGTGCGAGTGCCTCCAGGACTTTCCTTCCTGAGTGTTTAGAAAGCTCCCAGCAGATAAGAGATACTACTGTAAATTATTAGTAGTATATAACTAGGCTTGGAAGAATTAATTTTTTTTTTTGTAATTTTGATGGATAATATCCATGTTCATTTTTAAGCATTTTTTAAAATGTTTATCTATTTAAATTTTCAGTTTCACAGTGGGTTCCAGGAGGCTCCCTGCAAATCCGAGGGGCGCCGAGATACCAGATCCCTATGGGTACTAAGCGAGGGGAAGGCTGCACTAGCCGGGCAGAGCAGAGACCACTCCCATCCCCACAGTGTCCTTGCCCTGTTTGATTACAATTGATGGATGTTTTATTTAGTTTATTTCTGTGTGTATGGAGAATTTGATTTTTAAGTACAATATAATATAGAATCCTACCAAGGCTATATATAATAAGTAGGGCTTCTGACTGTAGGTTTTAACCAACAAACACCAATTAACCCCCCACCAGATAGAGAAAAATGAAATCAGTGTTTATCCAATAAACACAAGAAATGCTTAGTCAATTCATGTTAATATCACCTCTTTCCAGTGCAGTTTGTTTACATAGGCAATGTCCCTGCTCTGTACCTAAGGGCTTGTTTACATAGAGCAGTAATGAGCACTATAGGGGGTGTGATTTCTAAACTGCACTAATGTGTTGCACATTAATTGGTCTGTGTAGACCCTCCTTGTGCACACTAAAGGTTCCCTAGTTTGCTTTAATGTAGTGCTGTTTCAAACAGTACTACATGTATATATAAAGAGAAAGCCCCCCCAACCCCCAATTTTTGGACATATATATGGAACTTAAAACATGTTCAAAATATATCCTGAATAATTAAATTAATAAACCCTCCAAAACAGAAGTCCTATGTGATAGGGTATTAACCCCACACAGGGCCTGAAAGGGTTAATGTGGGCCTGTGAGGCCAATTAGGGTACTTGGCTGTACCTGGAGGGAGAATCAGATTTAACTGAATAAGAGGTCTGATGGGTTGGAATAGGTTGGATTGTAAAGCCAGGAAGTTTACATAGAAAAAGGCTGCAGGGAGAGAGTCTTCAGTCACTCTCTAGGAGCCGAGAGGAGAGGGAGGTGAAAACCCAGGAGGGAGAATAAACCTGGGGTTTTAGCCCTAGAAGAAGGATCAACCCCAGAGAAATTGTGGGGAAAAGAATCCTGAGAAGGCTAGATAGGAAGAAGCTCAGGGAAACAGTAGAAAGGGATAAGTCTGTGCAGACCTTGGCTGCATGTATAGGCAACCCAGAGTAGAGGGTGGACCTGGGTTCCCATATTAGCCACTGGGAAGTGGCCCAGGAGCGCTGGAGATGCCAACCAGACAGCTGATCTTGTTACTCTGGAAGGGGAGGACTATAGTGACCTAGCCAGAGGGCTGAGTCATGAAGAAGGAGCACCCTGAGCCCTGGAGGGGTCACACGGTGCAAGGAAGGGGGTGTCAGACCTGAGTGGAGCTAATCCCCAGAGGTGGCCACAAGAAGGCACCTCTCAGGGTGAGTGAACCGTGTCACACCCTAGTAATGAGCAGGGAGGATCAGGTCAGGAGAACAAAATCAGATGGATGTGATTAATTTCAGCCCCAGCCTTTTCAGATTTTTATTTCTGACATCTTGATGCAGTGGCTTTTGTAGATGACCCCTAGGGGCCTGTCAAACCATAGGTACACAAGAAAATAAAGAACTACATGTGCATACCTGCAAGCACGCAAGCACACACACACACATACACACACACACTTAAAGGAAAAGTTGCCCACCACAGTTTTGGAAAAGTTGTTAAAATGCTATCCCCTCTCAGAGAAGCAAAGGCATAGGTCTGATCAAAGGCTGACAATATGGAATCCACACTGACAGATCAATACGTGGGTGGGATCCTTAGTCTAGAAGAAATATATTGTAGACTGATGGTGTCTGGCATTTAGGCAAAGTGATGGATAGTAAGAAGGAAGTGCTTGAGCTCTTTCTCTTTTCCATCAGTGTAGGGTCTTAAGCTGTAGCCTGTGTTCTCCCCAGTGCTGCTCTGTATGAAACCACATCCAGCCCAGCCTCTCAGGGTATGTCTAAACAGCACACTAACCCTGGGATCTGACTCAGGTTTAAGCCCAAACCTCCCTTCTATCCAGACAGAAATTAGTTTGACTTAGGCCAGCAGCCACTCTACTCAGGACCACAGACCCTGCTAGGGGTAGGTCAGAGCCCAAGTCCCTTTGTAACATGAGTCAAAGCCCAGGCTTTTTGCAGTGTGGACACAGCTCAAGCCCAGGTCCCCAAAATCAGGTGTGGAGAGTCTGCCAGCAATATCCCACAAGCCCCTGGGGTTGAGCTTCCCAGTACTTGAATTCCAAAACTTGCCACTCACTTCCCAGGAACCAGAAGCAACCTCCTGGTTCAAATGTAGCAGCTCAGCATTTAACCCTTCATTTCCATGTGGGCTGCTCAACTGGAAACACAATCAACGCTGACACGTATTAGCTATGGACAGCAGTACGATGAAGTTCTAACGGGCCAGAGGAACACAGCCAAATTCTGGTTAATCTCTGTGCAAGGCAAGCAAAACATACGACGTTAGCAACAGTTCGAGAAACGATCATGTCTACAAAACTGTATCCAAGAAGCTGGCAGCACTGGGGATTGGCTGGATAACAAAACAACACAGATAATACATCAAGCAGCTGAAGACCGAGTACCACAAAGTCAAGGATGCCAACAGCACAGCTGAGAACTCTCCATATTCATGTCTCTTTTATGAGAAATACAATTGGTTACTTGGAACTGTAGCGAGCACTGAACCCACAGTGGTGCATAAGAGTCTCCTGAGCAGGGATGGCGACCTTATTAACTCTCCCCTGCCCCCATCACAGGCACCACTGGAGGAGAGACAGCCACTAGATGAAGGGCAAGAAGTGACTCTGGAGCTGAGGCCAGCAATCGAAGAGGTTATGCCGCTAGAGCAGCTACCGCACATCCTGAGTCTGTACTTGGAGGACCTATTTGGGGATGGCCATGGGGTGCAGCCTGCTGAGGAACCGGCATCAGAACAAGCACCAGAGCAGGAGCCAGATCCTGGTAAGTTTCTGCTGCCATATTTATTGTTATTAATATATAGATGGGAGGAATTTCTGGCTAGTGAGCCTGTTAACTTATTTATACAAGACAGGATTTTTGTATGCTGCCATTCTGGGTGGAACTCAAGCCATTTGCCTAGTACTCCCCACCCCCTTCCCACAATGCCAGTGGGATTCAAAATACAAGCTGCAAAAAGAAGAAGAATTTAATGAGCATTTTTCCTAAAATTGTTACTAGTTAATCACTGATTTTTATACTTATGGTTTGGGGCTCCACAATTCATAGCCTCATGTACCTCTCCCATCTAATACAGAGTACCTTATAAACTGGCTACACACACACTGTTCCTGACTATTGTGTGGGATTTGTCCCCAATAGCAGTGAAACAGCAGAATGCCAAAGCAAAATACTTGTCTTTATACCTACAAAAATGCTTGCTCGATGGGGAAAAAATGTGTATTTGGCGCTAAACTGAAAATAAACAGAATTTAAACACCTGGACAAACTGGGTGGAAAATGCTACCTCATCAGAATGGTAACTTTTCATGTCCACTTTGCACGGGGATAAATAACTATATAAGGTGCAGGGAAATGAACAATCAGACCCCTGGCTTTTACTCATGTAGTTCCCTTGTGGTTGTGTTCTTCACTGAGTGAGATTCCCTTTGGTGACTCATTGATCCAGATCAAGCCAAAGTTCTACATTTATTATTTCGCTAGGTACTAACTATTCTGAACTAGCTAGCTTTGCTTCTTCCAACCCTGATTGTTTGTTTGTTTGTTTGTTTGTTTTAACTAAGCCTTGATGCTTGGGAAAAATGTTCTAATAAATTCACTGTCGTGCAACAACTGGTGTCTTTTTTAATAGTGAACTAACAGAGAAACATTCCAGTTTCCCAGTTCACGTCCCATTTTACCAACGTAACACATATCAACTCATTTCTTATACCAGTGATGTAGACCACATAGGCAGGGTGCAAAAAAAGACACTGGTGGACCCAACTCTCATGTACACCACTCTGGCAGTGCACAGGGTGTAAATATAAGTTAGATTTACAATAAAGTAGAGCTGGTTGAAAAATGGATTTTTCAGTCCTGCAAAAATAATTGAGAATTCAAAAAACATTCCTCCTAATTCAGGATGAAAAGGCAAAATGTTGATTTATTTTGTGAAAAAAAATCTGAAAAAAATTAGTTTGGGGACAATCAAAATGTTTCTCTTCAGTGAATTTGAAATGTTTCTTTGCAGTTTCAACCCTTTTTATTTATTTTATTATAAAATACCTTTTGAAATGAAAAGTTGTTTTGAGATGAAAAATTGAAACTTCATTCCTAAAATGTCAAAAAGGCCATTTCAGCATTTTCAAAACTTTTTTTCAATTTTTTAAAAAATATTTTTGCCAAAATTGATACAATTTTGTGAAAAATGTCAATTTTTACTACATGGCATTTTCTGGAGGAAAACTGTTTTGATGAAAATTTTCTGGCGAGCTCTACTGTCAAGCCCCTTTACACTGTTGGAGTAGTGTAAAGGGGATAGTGTAAAGAAGAATTGCCCTCTCTCTCTCTTTCAGTCTCTCTGTCACACACACACTCTGTAAATAAGGATTATCTTGAGCTCTGCTATTTTCCACTCATGCTGGAGATGACCTGGCATAGATCAACTGGCTAATTGAAACATAAGCCTGTACAACTGAAGTAACCTGCTTCCATTGCGCAGTGAGCAGTCATGCTCGATGGTATTACTTGCAATTACTGGACTACTGGGAATCAAGGACCTGTTTAAAAGGGCTATACAAATACAAATGTAGTGACCCTTGCATGTCAGAATTATTGGTAGAGATTCTAGGGTGCTTTAGGCAGAAACATTGTACAGGACTGATTCTACTCCTGGCTTTGCCATGGACTTGGTTAAGCTACTTCCTCTTTCTGTGTGCCTCAGTTTCCCAACCTGCAATGTAAAAATTGGGTCTACCTCACAGGAGGGTCATAAGCCTTAATTTATTACTCGCTGTAAAGTGCTTTGAGATCTTCAGATGAAAGGTATTAAAGAAACTCAAAAAGGAGGAGAATCAAAAGGCAGGAGTCTAAATGCCACTGAATGTCAATGGCAACTGGGTGCCTAACTCCCATTGGTGCCTTTGAAAATACCTCCAGAACTATTAGTGCTGTGTTCATCATTGGGCAGAGAGAGGGGTAATCTAGTAGTTTAAGAATGGGGCTGAGAATTAGGAAATCTTGAGTTGTTTTATGTGGCTTATTAACAATTATTAATTTATATTTCAAATGTAGTATAAATCAGTATGGGCTAGTATACTTTCCATGGCCCTCATTCAGCAAAGCACTTAAGCACATACTTGACTTTAAACACGTGCTTAACTCCCATTGACTACAGCAGGAAAAGGGGAGAGGAAAGATTACTTTAAAAGTGAGGGGGAGAGGCAGGGAGGATCAGATGGGAAGGTCGCAGTCATTACAGTATGATGGGTGGAACTGAAGAAGGAGGGTGAGGTCTCAGGAAGGTCCTAGTTTGGTATGACACCTGGGGTTGAGGAATGCAAACCAGAGCAAGGCTGCTACCTCAAACTGTGTCTCAACATGCTTGTTAATTATTAATTATTTATTATGTATTATTTTTTTGTTTGTAATGCAGTAGGGCCTAGAAGCCACAGTCATGGCCCAGGACCCACATTCTGCTAGGTTGTGTACAAACACAGAACAAAAAAATGGCCCCTGCCCCAAAGAGCTTACAATCTAAGAGACAATAGGTAGAGACAGACAGATAGGGAGCACAAGATCTCTTTCCTACCGCTCTGCCTGCCTGCTGCATCACTTATTGCTAATGAAACCTGGCAACAACGGTTTGTCTGTAAGAAGTTCTGGAGCACAGTAACTTGCACAATAGGCACCGACTCCATGGGTGCTCCAGGGCTCAAGCACCCACCGAAAAAAATAGGGGATGCTCAGCACCCACAGGACTGGATTAATCTTTTGTGGGCCCTGGGGGTGGAGAAGAGCACCCACCGGCAAAACCAAAATTCAGCACCTGTGACTTGCACAGTGAACCACGTCACACAGACAGGAGTTTAGCCCAGCTATGGACCTGGTAGAAGCAAATGAGTTATTACAACTGCTCAGCCAGAGATCTACTGGCCCTGGAGTAGGGCTCTCCCATGTGGAGCCAGCCTTGGGAAAGACACAGGAAAGAAAAAACTAAAGGAGTCATGAATAGTGCATTGGCTCTCAGGTCACGTGAGGGGACCACCCAGGGAGACCAGTGCTCTGATGAACCCACAGGAGGCATCTACAAGCCAACAGATTCAGTGGAGAGTCAGAAAGTACCCAACATGAGTCTGTCGAGATGTCAAGCTTGCTGGAGAGCCCAAGGACAGAGAATCATCCTGAGGCCAACTCTGCAGGTTGAAAGAGACTCTGAGACTCAGCTTGCAAATTAATAAAGAACTCTTTCCTATACCTAGGCCTGCTTGCAGCAACACTTATAGCTGATGGAGCAGTCATTACAGCAAAATTGTCATTAGTGTTGCTGATTACAGAATGGAGCCCTAGATGCCTGTGTGTTAGTAGCTTTGAACTGCTGGCATCTCTGTTTGAATTTTCTTTTTATTAGCAGGGTGAAGGGGACTCTTCCAAAATCTCTTGAACCCTTCTGGGTGGATTTGTTGCCTGGGGACACCATGGCCACTCTGTGTCCCCTCCTGCATTGACTGTACCCATTATGCCGTGTGAAATGGAAGGAGGTGAAGAAGACTGATTGTAAAGCACCAGGGAAGGGCATTCCTTAGGCATTTCCATTTGGAAGGATGATTGCATGGGAGCCCCTGTATTCTCATCCCTTCTGCCTCCCCCTAGCTTTTCCAGAGGGGATCGGAAGAGCAAGGTCAGGGAAGCAGCTGTTTTAATTGAACCTGAAACAAATTGATTCTTTTCCTGGGTTTATAGCAGCCAATTGGAAGTGAAGTGCTCCTGAGCCCCTACAGCAGTATGGTCCCAGAGGCAACTCCCTTGTCTCAGATGGTTTCCTAGCCGCTCTTTCGCTGCTCATATCCTCTGCATGCATTAAGCAGTTTAATTTCATGCAAGATTAACGAGTGTATTATTATCACATGGAGTTTCTTTCCTCAGAGAGAAGAACACATTCGTTTATTTACTCGCCTTAAAGTGCTTCCCAGCAGATGAGGACTCCAACTCGTCTGGACAAGCCCTGATACCGCTAAACACTGGATCGCTGCCACACATGGGACTATCAAATATTCAGCCACTTGAACATGACCTCTCTGTTGCCAGCAGGACAGATGCATTTAGGAGCACAGGGCTGATCCTGCAAAGTGCTGAGTGCCACTTGAAAAAATCAGCATGTTGTCAATTCCTGCTGGAGTCAATAGGAGCCAAGAACACTTATTTAGCACCTCACAAGGCACTGGGCACCTTTCAGGATCAGGCCCACAAAGTTTACCACACTGGATCAACCAATGTCCATCCATTGCAGCATCTTGTTTCCAGCACTGTCCAAAGCCTGATGATTCTGAGTAAGGCAAAATGTCCCTAGTAATGCGTCTAGCAAGTTGCATGGCACTATAAATGGGTGGAAGGGGTTCATTCCTGACCTCTGATTGGTTGATGCTCTGGAGAATGAGAGATGATTACAAACATTATAGGACCAAAGAAAGTCTCTTCTGAGTGCGTGTAAGTAACACAATTCTATATACTTTGAAATTATACCTGAAGTGCATGGCATGAAAAATACTAGGAGCTCCTTGAATCAAAGTACTGAGGCTTTATTGAGAGCTACACAACCACCAGCTTTATTGATCATGCCCACCCTGCCTGGGGGCCCACCCAACACTAACCAAACTCTCAAAGTCCTGTTCCCCGCCGCAATGGGCGCTCAGTATAAGACCTGGCTTGGATTCGGGGGGGGTGGGGGGGTGGGCTGGTTTCATAGATAGTTGGCCCAAAATCCGGGTTAGGATTGTGAAGTA